TTTTTTTTTCGGAGACATAATTTATCTCACAAAAACTGAATTGAAATAGATTTTTCACAAAATATACTATTCATTCCATCTCACATTTTCTCTACAAAAATTCCAATAACACAATAAGAAAAAAAAAACTAATAATTATCATATATTTTCCAATAAAAACAATTATTCATCCAATCATATGTCTAACTACCATCTTATCACTTCTCAGTCAACATAGTATTTTGCTATCATTCGCGATCTCTAATTTATCTCACTTTTTTATTTCTAAAAACACAAATTTCCCCATTTTCATCTCACTTTTTATTTATTTATTTATTTATTTTCCAAACGAGGTATATCAAATCGCAACACGACACAATCAAATTCATCCAAAATAAATCAATCAATAAACAAAAAACACATAAAATGGAAACCAAAAAAGGACGATCAAATCACCGGCAAGGGTCGACTGAAGCCACGGAGAACGATTCGAACTTCCCTTGCTGTGGCTATCCAACCACCACCAGTGGGACGAGTCTTTGTTCTTAAGCTCCACCATTTTTTTCTTCTTTCTTCTTCTTACCTGAAAAAAAAAATCAGAAATTCAACACCCCAATTCATAAAGATTCGATTTTTATACATCACATAGAAACAGAACATCATCATATAGGGTTGAAAAAAAAATCCCAGTTCAAGAAACCCAAGATCTAGCAAAATCACTTCTGAAAAATTGCTTTTGACTATTTTTTTGCTGCTACTTTCATGACTTTCATGGCATCAGCTCAGTTAAAAAAAATAATCAAGAAACTCTCTCAGTTACCTTCAATACGGCGCCGTCTGGCTGTCTCTTCTACTCTCTCTCTCTCTCTCACATACACACACAGACACACACAATCACACTCTCACTGTGTGGACTCAGCTCGTTGTAGCCGACAGCGAAGAAAAACTGTGCTATAAATTCAAATTAATATCGTCTCGAGAAGATTGAACCTTTGTGTGTTCCGTCTCACTTTTCTTTAAGCAGTCTTGGTGTCCAATATGAAATCGCCACGTGGAATCGTCCATTGGCATTTTCTACGGCACATGAGAAATTCAAATTATCTGCATAGTGACAATTGTAACGCTAAGGTAGTGGAGTATTTGCGGTCTAACCAATGAGGCTAAGCTGTAGTTGGAGGCCATTTTCGTAATATGGCTGCGAGATGATTCCATTTTAAGTACATTGTTTTAAAAAATGTCTTAACAGATGATTATTATATTTTTATTTTAATAATTTGAAAATGGAAAATGCGATGGAGGAGCCGGGAGCGTCTCCTAATACAGAAAAAGGAAACCAACGGTCGAAAAAAATTGTGTGGGTTCCAAAAGAGAAATCACGACTAACAAAAGTTGCTACTTATTTTTTTTTTTTCTATGAAAAAGCAATGAAATTAGAGATTTTTATTTACTTTTCTTACTCAAAGTCAATGTATTTTGTTAGGGGAAACAAGATTGAGATATATGCACATTATATGATTAACACCACTCATTCTGCATCAAATCAAACATTAATAGAGACAATTTATGGCAGGCCATAAACTCAAATCCTCTAAGCTATCAACTTATACTGCCTTAAAGATGTGCGAGAAAGTGAGACCTTCATAATGGCTACATATTGCATATTTTAAGGTTGAATTAAAATCAAATGTCTAGCTGAAATACATGAATTTTAAAATGCTACCTTTGTTGTACATGTTGTTCTGTAAAATATGACATTTCAATTTGAAATGTAAGTATATTTATTGAAAAAGTATAACAATCTAAACGCTAAGTCTGCATATTAGTTTTATTGACTGGTGTTTTTATGTTGCTTTCTAAAAAAATATTTTATTTAAAAGTATGTATTTTTGTTGAAGTCCTATGATTTAGTTTTTGTAAAAATTGTCCACATTTATATGTCTCTTTACATTTTGAGCTCGTAATACCATAGCTTTCAAATTTGGTTAGAACGGGTTTTCAAAACCGGACCAAGCCCAAGAACCAATCACTTAACCGGATCAATCTGCTCCAAGCCGATTGCCCAATCTAATGCAAAAAACCAACCTAATAGTAATCTATGCCTTCTGTTTTTCCTTTTCTTGTAATCTTGTGGCTATTAGACTTCTAGAGGAGCTTTACAAATGTACTTTGTCTAAATCTACATCCAAAGAGGCTTATAATTTTCCAAAAATACCTATGTAAAATTGAGCCTGTAATTTGTGAAACTGTAACTACTATATACACAATGTAGTGGTAAAGTTAAATTTCGAAAAAAAATGTAGGTCTTTTTCGTAACTAGATAAAATCTCAGGGGTTCTTTTGCAATGAACCCCCTTCCATTACTCAGAACAATTTCGTAGCAAAACTGCACCTTTTGCCTTTCAGAATGAAAACTTACGTACAAGTTACATCACGAAAGCCTCGAGAGCTCAGTTCAATCATTTAACTTGTTGAACCTTGAATTGTTTCCAAAAGATGCTCTATTCTGTATCTCATCACAGGTTGACCAGACCTTGTTTTCTTGTACATTTTCTCCTTGAGTGATTTCCTTTGAGCTTCGGCTCTTTCTCTCTCTTCCCTCTTTGCCTGAATCAAAGCTTCTCTCTCCTTCCTGGCATTTTCTTCCTCCTCACGCTTCTTCTTGTACAACTCCTCAAGACTCCGTGCATTCTTCTTGCCCTTGTTGTTAACATGACTATGTTCCTTTTTCCCATTTTCACTCTGTTTTAAATGGCAAATCAAAAGCAAAAGAATTCATGAGGTCTATCTTTAGTGCTTTTAAATTAAGAAAATTTGCTATCATTGGATATTATAAGAAAATAAAGGAGTTTTTTTGTGTTAAGTTTTACAGTTAATCTCCTTAGCAAAGATGCATTTTCGTAAAATTAACTGAGCAGAAAGATTGCAGAATCAACACTACGAAACAGAGCATATCATTCCCGAAGAGTCTACAAAGACATATAATGAAATTGCTTTGTGATATAAAATTGGCACCTCCGGTGACCTTTCTTCCGTGAAAGGAATATTCGGTTGCTCATGTTGCTTCAATGATTTCTTATATTTCTTCACATACTTCGCATTTTTATAGAACTCCCTTTGCTTCTCTACAAAAATGCACCAAAAATGGAAAGAAAGAAAAAACATAACACGAAAATAGAGATTATAAGATATCGTATACAACACATGTATCACCCCATAGCAATCTTTATCTGACAATTATTGGTATAATAATTGTAATTCACTAGCACCAACGCAAACAAACATACATTTGACATAAATGTTATAACATATCACCGAGCCTTCCGAGAGAATAGCCATTTTTTTGTATCTATATTGATAAAGTTTAAATACTTCCACAGCCTAATAATTTCAACAGTCAGCGAGATTTTTAGCCATTTTTTGTAAAGCCAACATCTTTCTTANTCCCAAAAGAACATCTTCCATTTTCCCAACAGAGATGACCACATCGTGTTGGAAAATGTTGTGACCAGTGACATGGTCATTTCCCAAAGTCATTTTCATCCGGGTCAGGAATTAGCTAAAAAAAGATATTTTTGCAAACTATGCTAAAAAAATGTATAGGCACTGAACGATTATCATCTCCACCCACTTGTACTCCCTTTAATCAACAGCTAAACCGAAAAAATTCAAAATTTTCTTTTTCAACCCAAGAAATTACACATCGCTGCACATATCTATGCAAAATAAAAAAGCATCACCCGAACACCAACAAAAAAATCCCACTCATAATAAATCACCAGTCAACATTAACAAACAACTCTCAAGCTACTCACTGTACAAACCCCACATGAAACTGGCAAACATGGCAAATAAAATCTTAAAAAAAAAAAAAAACTAACTAAAAGTAAACATACTGATCAACGAAGGGTTGTACTGGTCGTTCCTGGTCTTAGCATTCGCAAATGATTCGAGCGACAGGCCGCCTTTGCCGCCCAACCTCTGCACATTCTTCTTCATCTTCTTCCTGTTCTTGATGAAATCCTGGCCGCCCATTTTCTTCCCTCGATCTCCATCTCGAACGGAGGTGCCTCCGCCTTTCTTCATAGCGCTTTGATTGAACAAATTTTTCAAGCTAGATTCAAAACCCTCAATCGGGAAGCTAACCCTAATTGCGTAATCGAAATGGGGATTTTCTTTTACTCAGCGGGGTTTTGGGTTCTTTTGTACAGATTCTTTTAAGACCTTCGACTAATAAGGCCCACAAAAAGTTGGGCCACTCATTAACATTGTAGCTTCTATTAAAGAAAATTGAGGTTTACCGGCCCAGTTGGTTAATTTAAGGTTTTGTTTGGGCTATTTACCATGTTTAGTTGTCTACTACAATTTTTTTAAAATTATTTGTCAAAATATGACATTCAAAATACGTTAATAAATAAACCATTCATAATATAATTATAAATTGAAAAATAATTAGTGTTAAAAATTAAGGATAAAATAAACTAAAAATAAATCATTCATAAACTAAAAACAATTGATATATTATATATAATCACTAGCAGCGGTCTAGTACAGTGTAATTAACAAATTTATTCTTAAATTTTAAAGGATAAAATAGAAGTTCTATTATAAAATTTAAAATAGTTTTTAAAAAATTAAATTATTATTTTTATCTAGCGGATGCACATGATATGATGGGAGGATTTCAACCAAACCCACAGTTATGAAGCTTTTTACCCGTTGGATCAACACAGACAGGTGTCCATTGATCCAACGGTAAACAACCGTGCAGTCACCAGTATGGTCGAATTCTCTAATACGATGATTGTTACAATTGAAAACATATTTTTATACAAAAGTTCAATATGGTTTCAACTTTCAAATGCAAGTGTTCTTAAAATGTTAATGCAAGCAATCCTTTCCATTTCAATGGAAGTGTTAAACAAAGTTCTTGTGAGCTAAGAACTGTTTAATGATATGATTGGTTCATCCAAGCTTGTGAAAGTTGCAATCTCTATCCAATCTAATATCTCTAACTTATCCCCAGCTTCACATTTATACCTGCCTTTAGATGCCTATAGATTAAAGTGATTGTCAAAAGCTGTGAAAGATGATATCTTGGCCAATAATCACTACCCTCGAAATTTAGCTTAAATGGAAGAAAGTTCAATTTAGATAGAGAGCACAAATCCAAGTGATGAAAGCATTTTATTTTATTCCTGAAATATTTAAGTTAGGTGTTTTAAAGCCTCTCATGGGTTTTTCGAACAATCCTCTGGATAGAAAACCAGTTTCTTGTTCATAAACATCATGAATGATCCTATGATTCGTTTGTTGATGAGCTCCAATAACGGACATCTCATAATCCGAAACCATTGCCAGACAAAAGAATTCTCGAGCTTCACTTACAACCACAAATGCAGCCTTAGGCTTCAAAACAAAGTCCGCTTTTCCCTGTAAATGGAAAGTAATTTCCGGTAGATCTTTGAACCCTTTCGCCTTGCTCCTCTCGTAGCATAAATCAAGTCCGATGTCCCTTTTGATTTTTTTCGAGTCCTTGAATCTCGAAAAATACTTTTCTAACTCCTTTTTCAAAATTTCAAATGCGGGCCTTATGATCCTTGAGTAAGTCGTGCCCACATCAGTTATGCAGCCCGATGTGATAGTACCGATTTTGAATGCAAACACTCGTGGGTCGATCTTGAGCCTCGTCCTACCGATGCTAATGCCCTGCATTTCCACCGAATAGAACTGTTTTTGCCTTCTATAAAGCGGTGTGCTTTTAGCGATTCTGTTATTGGCCGTGTAGTTGTAATCTCCGAATGTTAGATACGTGCTGGTGGGTGTTTTTTCCGAAAGTATAATAACCGGCAAGCAATAAGAGAATTTGCCTTTGAATTGAGTTCCGAATTGGTTTATGAGAGACGAGTCGCCCCACCCGAGCCCCATTATTCCAACAATCTTATTATCTTTATACTTCCCGTATTGCATTTCGTTGTATATCCCACATCCGAATTGCACGTTTTCGAGTTTCGCCAAACCTTTCTTTGTCTTGAAGTGGAAAGTCTCTCGGGCAAGAATGCCTTGCGTTCGGTCTCCATCTCCGTACTCGCACGTGTAGTTTAATTGCTTGTTTTGTTGAGTCGTAGATCGAAAAGTGGTAGACTTCTCTTTGGGAAATGGGCTCGTTGTTTGCTTGAAGCATTTTTTGCAACCGTTGCATTGGAGCCACGTCAGGCTGCTACCCGTGTCCATGTCTAAGTAGTACTCTTTGTACGAAGGTTCGGATTTGAAAGTTCCGATCCCGATTTTTACGCCGTAGAGAAGGCGTTGTGCCTCGACATTCGCATGCACGATTGAGGACTTCCAATTGAGGAGGTAATTGGATTGTGAGGTTAACGTTTTGATTCGTTGCTCGTGAGAGAGGTTAGTTTGGAAGAAAGGCGAGTAGGGTGAGTGTGGATGTATGAGTTCTATTGTCAAGCCATTGGGGTAGACAAGAGGTATGTTTGCTAGTGTAAGGATTGTGGTGGTAAAACTAAAGAATGGCAAAAATGTTGGGAGCTTTGCCATTGATAGTTAAGAGTGTTTTTTTATCTTTGTTGGTTTATGTTTGCTTTGTTTCAAGCCATTTTATAGTTTGATTAATGATATCATATGGTTTACTTTAGTAGATTTTTCCATTCTCATGTTCCGTCATCTGTTATTTATGATGATATTCTGGCTATTAAGTGTTTTTTTTCCCATATAAAAGTAGAATTCAATGAGAAACTTATCTTCCATGGCATGGTGTTGCAAATTAAATATGATATTTTATCACATCACTGCATAAATTATTTCAATACTTTTGGTTAAACGGACAAATTTGTGTTTTTCTTTTTTTTTTTTTAAATCTGTAACATACACTCACATGAAATTAGACCAGTTAATTCAGTTTTCTTTTCTTTTTCCTTCTCATGAATTCTTGGGACAATCCTTGGAATATAAAAGCAGCTAACTTATCATATCAACTAGCTAATTTTTGCTGTAAACTCGAAATTCAAAGTTAGAGCTAACTTATCAGCTATTAGCTAGCTTATCAATTATGTTTACCAAGCATAGCCTTTGTATTGTATCGTGAATGTTCATATGATTCTTCTATTGATGCAATCCGACAGTGGTCGTGTCATCATTATTCCGGCAGTGTTGTTGCTCTTATCCTTCCGGAACCTGATTTCACTGTCCATACCACAGCCGAACGTTAAATTATCTTCAGATGACGAATCTATTTTTTTTTTTTTTTTAACAATAAAGAAAAGCTAGGCTTCAGTAAAGCAAATTATCTATATCGAAAAGTGGACGGTATCTTGTTTTTGTATCATTTATTAGAAGATGATCCTACTAAACTAGTGAATGCACTTGAAAATATAGTCTTCGTCTGCCAGTTGCCGCCCAAAATCGACACCCCTTGATTGACTTGTAATATGGAAGTATGGGAATTTTCATTAATTTATCGGACATAATTTGAAACATGAGATCTATTTTTATCTTATCCAATTACCATACATTGATTTTGTAAAGCAATTTACACTGGAAGACAAGGCTGAGTACAAGAGCCGCCTTTAAAAAGAGAAGAAATTTAACAGTCTTTGTTAGGTAAACACAAACTTCCAATGAATTTAGTGCATTCATTATCTGTGTTTC